CTCTCTCTCTGTGTCCAGTACTAACCTGTGAAGTTGGCGCCTTGATGCAGGTACCTCGAAGATGGAGCTGGAGCGATGGCGCCACAGGTAAGTACCACTGGCCTCCGCCAGTGTCTCTCCCAACTCTACGAYCTACCACCTACCAGCGCCCAGCGCTGAAGACTACTCTATGGCTATGGGCGCCCAGCGCCGAAGACTACAGCTAGCGCTAACTACTGCCTAGCRCTGAAGACTACTGCAGCGCTCCTCCTGAGTGCTGCCCGAWWCCTGAAGACTACTCGTGCCTACTGACTCTACCTACCCGTGAAGTGCCTGGGAAGCTCCTATGTACTACCACGGGTGCCTCCTGACTGCAGGCGAGCAGTCCAGGAGGCTGCTCTTGYCAATGYCGATCGGAGGCAGGGGCTGCCGCTGCAGCTCCTGCTCAAGGTCGTGGGAACAGGCTATTTCTGGCCTGTTCCTGAAACCCTGTTTCCGTGCCCGAGTCTTAGGGGCGGTTGAAACAATGAGGGCCTGAAAATGGCCCTCCATTTCAGGCTGGAAAAACTCTGGGTCTGAAAGACCCAGAAATAGGCTGAAACGGAGTAGGGCCTGCAGGCCCTCGTTTTCACCTTTCAGGCCGAAACGACCGGGGCCTGTAAGCCCTAAGTTTTAGGCTTTTAGGCTGAATGTCCGGGATGGGCCCTGCAGGGCCCGTGTGGCTATGCAGTATGCCACACAGCCCCTCTGCCATCAATGCTAAGCATTTCTTTTTTTTTTTTTTTCCCCTAACTTTTGTAATGAACCCAGACGTATTGAGAAGCCAATCAATTCTGAACCCAACAGACAAAATAATGTCTCCAAATTTCCAAAATCGATTATATGTCCAAGCCCAGCATATGTGCACTGTGCAAGCGCATCGTAACTTCAGAGAAGAGAACGAGGTAGTGGGGAGAGGAGACAGACAGGAGGAGGAGAAGAATAAGAGTCCCTGTCATTCATGCATGAAGCCTCTTCCTGCCCACTTCCTCCTCGGGCATTATCCCCCCCTGTCGCCACCTCAGCAATGCGGTCACTCTCTCTGACGTTCTCGGACAGATACAGTGTGCAGGTCAAAGCCAGGCACCCATCCTCCACCCATATCAGGAGCCCATCTGCGAGGATCTGAGTCCTCCGCAGGCCTAAGGGGCCCCGGTTGCAGTGGTGCCCGCCCTAAGTGAAGGCGGGCCTAATCTGTCACAAGAGGCCTTTGACTGTCAATTTCATATTTGGGGTCCAGGCAGTTGCAACGCGCCAGTTGGTTGAAAGAAACACAGGCCGAGCAACAAAGACATTTCCACGGCCTACCGGGCCTTTCCAAAGAATGCAGGCCGTGGGCGTGAATCACAGCCTCATACACTGACAGTTGGGAGGCCCAACCGAACGAGGCCCAGTAGCTGCAGAGCAAAGGCAGCATCCTGGGGCCTTCCAGAAGCTTCTGGGCCCAGGCCAGTGCAGCCAGGCTGCAAGAGCAGGCCAGCTCTTTCCATAAAGGAAAGAGCTCTCCCCCGGCACTGACATTCAGTCACTTGCTGGCTGGTGGCAGCGCTGCTGGAGCGATAGCTCGTGGGCTGGCTGCTGGCATTGGGAGCAAGAGGCTGCCCACGTGCGGTCGTGTAGTGAAGAAGGGCGCTGCTGAGGGCAGCGCCATAGCCAGCCTTCATAACGCGCTGGGCTTGGATGTACAGTGAGGCGCAGGGGTGGTTTTCGGGTGTAACGGAAGAAGACGTGGTGTAAAGTCAGCGAAGGGCGAAGGATGACGATGATGATGATGTGAGGGCACATACTTTGTATTGGCGATGGTCTGCATTTGGGCGACATCTTCATGTACTTCGGATTGCCGCTGATGTCAACAGTTGCATTGTTTATTAGTAGGCTGATCGTAGCTGTGTAGGAGTAGGCTGGGAACTGAGCGCCAAGTAGGAGTGCGAAGGGACTGGACTCTTGTGTTGTGGCAGAGAGAGAAGCTCTCCTTGACATTGGTTTTCAGTACTACGAACCTCCATTGGTGTATTATTGGTGCAATGCTGCTCTCTGGACACAGTGTGACTATCTGGCTTTCAATGTGATGATGTAATCTGGAATCTGTCATCTCGCTGTTGCTTATTTTCCTTGCAGATCAGGGAGGATGGCGCAGATCTTCCTCACCTTCGTGGAGACGAGCAGCAGATCGCACACGACGTCGCCAGGTAAGTTCTGGTAAGCTTCCCCTCAAATCCTCTCCAGTCTCACAGACCCGACCCTCCTCCTCGCCCAACCTCAACACCAATCTCTATAGTTATGGTGGCAGCGGCCGCTCCAACATAATCTCCCCTGATGCTGGCGCCCACCTCAACACCAATCTCTATAGCTATGGCGGCAGTGGCTGCTCCAACATAATCTGCCCCCATAGCTATTGCGGGCACTGGCCCGAGCATACACTCCAGCAGCCCACGGTGTAGCACTTGGCCACGAGCAAGCACAAGGCTGAATGATCTCCACAGTGACTGGGTCAACTCTATATAGTGTTCACTCACGTTGCCCGCCCTCCAATCCCCTCGGGCCGACGGCCCAGATGATCTGAAAGCCAATGGCCTGGATGCAGCGCAGTCCCTCACAGCTTTCCCTCGTGTCCCACTTGGACTGGAATCATGTGGATACCTTCAGACAAACACGGATGAGCATCTGGCTGACC